AGTAGTTCATTTTTGCTTTTGTTTCTCCTTGCCTCAGGAGAGATAGATCTATCTAGAAAGAAGTTGCTATGACTGATTTCAAAGAAGTTACTGGCTATGTTCTCTTCCAGAATTTTTATGGTTTCAGGTCTCTCATTTACGTCTCTAATCCATTTTGAATTTATTTTTGTGTATGGTGTAAGGAAGTGGTCCAGTTTGTTTTGCAAGTGGCCATCCAGTTTTCCCAACACCATTTGTTGAAGACACTGTCCTTTTCCCATTGGAATATCCTTTTCTGCTTTGTCAAAGACTGACCACTTAATTTTAGGTTTATAACTGTAGGTTTATTTCTGGATTTTCTGTTCAACTTACCTAGGTGTCTATTTTTGTACCAGGACCTTACTGTTTTGATTACTACAGTTTTGTAATGTAACTTGAAGTCCAGAATTGTGATGGCTCGAGCTTTGCTATTCTTTTTTAAGATTGCTTTAGCTATTTAGGGCCTTTTGTGTTCCACACAAATGTTAGGACAGCTTGTCCTAAGTTGTATGAAAAATGCTATTGGTATTTGGATAGGGATTGCGTTAAATGTGTAGGTTGCTTTAGGTAGTATAGACATTTTAAAATGTTTATTCTTCAAATCCATGACCATGGAATGCCTTTCTTTCCATTTCTTTGTGTCATCTTCAGTTTCTTTCATCAATGTTTTATACTGTTTGGAATACAGGTCTTCCACCTCTTTGGCTATGTTCATTCCTAGGTATCTTTATTTTTGGTGCAGCTGTAAACGGGACTGTTTTCTTCATTTCACTTTCTGCTGCTTCCTTATTGGCATATATAAACGCAACAGATTTCCATACGTGATTTTGCATCCTAAGACTTTACTGAATTCATTTATCAGTTCTAGCAGTGTTTTGGTGCAGTCTTTCAGATTTTCTATATAGACTGTCATGTCACCTGCAAATAGGGAAAGTTTTACTTCTTCCTTACAAATTTGGATGCCTTTTATTTCTTCTTGTTGTGTGAATCAAAGCGGTGAGAACAGACATCCTTCCTTGTCTTGTTCCTGACCTTAGGGGAAAAGCTCTGTTTTTCCGCATTGAGGATAATGTTATAGTTTTTCACAAATAGCTTTTATTAAACTTACTTTGTTGAGGGTTTTATCATGAATGGATGTTGTACTTTGTCAAATGCTTTTTCTCCATCTATTGAAATAATAATATGGTTATTATCCTTTCTCTTATTGATGTGATAGATCACATTGACTTGAGATTAAAATACATTTCACAGAGAATATTCCATGACAGATGAGAGGGGAAAATAAATCACAGATCTGGATTACATACAAATAAAATTTTGGAGGTATTTTTGATTGGCAAATGGAATGAACCAAAAGCACTTCATGTTTTACAACTTTGTCTTTACCTCAAATGCCTTAAAATTTAGATCTTATTAAGTTAATGTGACACCATTTTACTCTGCAAACTCTCATTCAGAGAATTACAGGGCAAACGTCAGGCTAGTTTCCATAGAAAAATATAAAGTATAATCAGTGTGAATTTCCACCCTTAACGAGATTTTATGGAACTATAACTATTCAAAGTGAGAAACACTTAGAAAAACCTGATCACAAGTACTTACTAATTAAAGAATATAACTTATTATTAGTTTTGTCAGTGATCCAACTTTGAAACAAAAATTCCTAATATTCCTATTTCATGCTCTGGATTCATTTATCTGAAGTAAATCCTGAGACTAAACAGTGAGCCCTTAGCAGGCAATTTCCATTTGCCACTAGTTATCTGCATAAATCAAGATTTTTCTCCAAATATTGCAACAAAGTAAAATAAGGAAATAAATCACTATTATAATGTGCATATATCTCTACACAAATTGCACATTTCTGCCCATTAAAACTGCCTCAGAATTCAAACACATTGACTGGCCATATATGAATTTAAAAAAACAATTTAAACTAAGAAGTTCATAACCTTATCTAAAATTAACAGAAATTCAATCCTTAAAATCCACTTACATTTTCAAACCTAAAAATTCACCTACAGTAAGTAACACTTTGTGCCATGTGAGGTCTTTTTCCCCTCCAAAATCCAGATCTGTACTTCTAGAATAAGAAAAGTACGTTTTGCCTTTCTGTCTCTCTAAACTCTCCCTAAACTTTCACACAAGATACCTCAAACTTCTATATGTTTTCTTCTATATATAACAAATGAAGAAACTAAAAGCAGTGCTTTAACATAAAACTCAAACTAGTCTCTCCTAGAATTCATCCCATTTACTTTTTCTGAAACTACTAAACTTATTATCAATAATGGACTTTTTCAAAATACAATCAAAACAGGGGAAAAAAATCCTTCCTACACAATTTTTATAAGAACACATTAAATAAAAGTAAAGTTCTGGGGAAAAATTAATTTCTGCATTACTACAAAACATCTTATCCAAACTGTAAATGCAATATACCCCTTCTAACAAATGTCAAAAATTGAGAGCTGTTTTTATAAGTTGGTGCAAGAATTGGGAAAATCATTCGAAAATGAAAATACAGCAATCAGCACCGGCCATGTTCCAAACACTTTATCAGTATTAGCCCATCCAATCCCCTTAACAACCTGAGGTTATTTTTACCCTATTTACGGAGTAAGAAACTGAAGCACAGACAGGTTAAGTAACTTGCTCAGTCATAACAGCTAATAGGTGGAAGAGCCAGAATTTGACCTTAAGCTGTCCCAGTCTGGAGCCGTGCTCTTAACCCTCTAGCTATACTTAAATAGTACACATATTAGGAGCCATCACTTAATAGGTATCCAAGTTATTTCAAAACGAAGAAATTAAAGACTTTTTCATTTTGTGACACACCAGATAAAGTAACATATATTTAACCTGCCATCTTATATTATAATAAAGACTGCTGATAACAGAACCAAGCAAATGAGACTTAAAGAAAAAGCTCTTTTTAAATGATTATGATGACTATAACATGAATTATTACATACCGATAAATTTAAAGTATACGTTCATATGTAAATGTCTGACAAATAGCTTTCAAAAACTAACTACAAATGCCCTCGAATAATCAACCTTCAAAATACATTCAGGGTAGGCAAGTTGAAAGCATACAAACATCACACTTTACCCAGATAATGTGGTACTTGCCTAACCAGAACACAGCAGAAAAGTCACTAAGAAAAGGACTCTGAACAATTAAAACGGATACTCCAATGTCCAAGTATTAATGCTAATCTTCCTCAAGATAATATCTCACACACTAAGTAAGGGTATTCTTATTTCCCCATGCGCAGAATTACAAATTTGAATAGGATTCCCACACTAGAAAAATTAGAGAAGGGAGGGTGAAGGGAACACTAATCACAGTGACAAGAACATCCAATAGGAAAGCAGAAAAATATTTAAATAACTCCAAAATGCAAAGGAATCTGATCAACAGTCCAACATACAATCCAACACATTACTCAAGGCATCTCAGCAACTGATGGTCACAAATGATGACCCTAGGTCATCAAGAGGTTTAATTACATTCCACATCCTATTTAAAACAAAAAAGACACATATTTTAGTAGGCTTTTCATTCAAATCAGTTAAAGTGGTTTTATCATTTGATGCTTACAGGAATAAAAATTCACTCAGTAAACTCAACCAATCAAAAAGGAATTCATTTGAAAGGTGGCAACAGCAAAGGTTTTACTGTCTGGGGGTTTAAGAGCACTCTGCCTACAAAGGTTACCTGAAAGACGTACAAGTAGAAAGTGCAGCAAAACACAAAAGAGCTAAGCGAGGATCTGTAAACACTGCTTAAAGCATTTCTCACAAAACATTGTGTGGGCAGAAGGTGCCACATCAGCAGTCGTCAGTATTTGTCCTGCTTCTAAATCATTTGTTAGTTGCATGGATTATTAATTTCGGTTAACAGTGTGTTTGATATGAAGAGTATCAATCCTCAACTACCAAAAAAAAAAAAAAAAAAAGGTAGAGTCTTCCTGATTTGGTCTATAAAAACTCAAAACTGGGATCATTCTTACAGAACATGCTTATGCTCGCTGGTGGCACAAATCTATGTTTTATAATGGCACACTTTTATAATGGCACGCACACTGCTTTTAGGGTGCTTTTAATTTAAGGGATTGCGGGAGAGAGCCAGTGCCTAGCCCACACCGAAATCTTTTATCAGGAGAACTGTTACATCGCTCAACAACACTCCCTTTCAACCAGGCTGCAACACATTCTGCTTTCTCTAGCTCCAAACTAAACTTTAAAAAAGCACATAGTAAAAAAAAAAAAAAAAAAAAAAAGCACATAGTAAGTAACATACATATAAGGCCTTGTAGTTGTAGTTTTGTCTCCTCCAGCAAGGAAGTCTAACTCCAAACAGGAAACAGCTTCTCAAAGGGTTCAACCCTGAAAACCTATCAAACCCCAACCCCGCACTCGGGAAGGGATTTCGGGTCCGGGTGCCAAGAGGCTCGCCCAGGTAGAAACGCAGTAAGTACCAGTACGTACTCCGGCTTCCCCGTCCTCGAGGCATCCCTTGCAAGTCTCAGATGAGGGGGGAAAAAAAAAAAAAAAAGATTACCTCTCCTACTAACAACAAACGGAGACCTTCTTAAAAAGGCCAAGCTACACAACGCCGAGCAGAAGATAAAGAAGTTTAAAGAGCCACTTTGTTAAGTCTTTCCATCACCCTCCCCCATCCGACCGGAATGGGGGAGGGCAGGAGAGGCGGGGAAGTTCAGGCGAGGTTAGCCGGGCGGTGGGCGGTGGGCGGTGGGCGAGGACCGGGTCGCGCGCCCCGGCCCCGTTTCCTCACCTTTCCCGAGGGCGGGAAGAGGCGGAGGTGGGGGGGGGGGGCGGGGGGCGCGGGACAGGGCACCCGCAAACCCTCGGACCAAGTTCTCCGCGAGCAGAGGGGGGCGGAAGGCAGGGCGGGGAGGCCCGGCGGGGCGGCGGGGCGGCGGGGCGGCGGGAAGCGCCCGCGAGCGTCTTACCCATGCTGGGGGCTCCCGCGGGGAGAAGCCCGGCGCTCGCGGCTCCTCCTCCGGCTGCTCGCGCGGCCGCACTGGCGGCGGGAGGCGGGCCCCGCGCTCGGCGCTCGCTCCTCCTGAGCTCAGGCGGGGCGAAGAGGCGCCTCCATCCGCCCGCGGCGCCCCCCGGACTGTCCCGTCAGCGCGGCCCGCGAGCGAGAGGCGGCGCGGCGGCGGCCGAAGTCGCGGTGGCGGGCGGGCCCTCCGCCGCCCTCCGCCGCCCGCCCGGACGGCTGCTTTCCCAGCCCCGGTGGATCCCGCAGCAGGGCTGGGACCTGCCGGTGCGTCCCGGCCGCCGAGTCCTAACCGTCGGAGCCCCGGAGCCCGCCTCCCGCCGCTCCCGGACACAACCGCCGCCCCGGAACGCGTCGCCGAAAGCTGAGCGGGAGACCCCACGGAGGCCGGGAAGGTGCCGGGAGCCGGACCCGGGAGGCGGGAAGTCTCGCGAGAATCCCCCCCCCCGTTCTCCCTGCCCCGCCCCCTCCGCGTCCCGGCCCACAGCCGGCACCCCAGCTGGTGCCAGGTGCGGTGACGTCAGGGCCGGGGAGTCGCGCGCCGCCCGCGTCCAGGTGCAGCGGGCCGAAGAGGAAGGAATCCGGAAGCGCTGCGGCAGCCCCTGCACCTGGACGTGCGGCGCGCTGGGACGGCCGTTTTGTACGGTTTGTCGCCCCAGATGAATACCGAGCGTATGTATGCTCCTAGGCACAGTGAGCCTGTGTTGCCCCACTTTCTGCGGGGGGCGATGCGGTCTTGCTCCGTGCAGAGCGGCGGGTTCTGGGGGACCCGACGGAAAACAGATGGCGAGAGCAAGAGGCAAAGAGACAACGGAGCCCGAGACCTCTTGCTTGTCAACCCTTAGAGGCCAACCTGTTCCTGGGACCCCCCAAGTTTACGTTGCGGGTTCTTAAATCACAAGCACACAGGCATTCGTTGGGGGGGGGGGGCGCACAAAACCATAAGCACACACACACACAAAATTATATTTTACAGAAATAAATTATTGGTTCATTTAGCCTCTGTCAGCTGACAACATCTAAATCCCTTTACTTGACCAGGGGGAGAAATAGTCATGATTTGAAATACTGCCAGGTAATTTTTTTTTTCCTAGCCTCAGTATGAGGAAGGACATAGGATTACTGTAATCAAACATGAGCATTTCTTAGAAGAGTTGGAAACAAGTATAATTCAGCCAGCTTTTCTTACCCTGCTGTTTAAATAGACCCAGTTCCAGACAGATGTGTGAGAGCAACATTTGTTGACTGCCAACTGCTGTGCCGAATGCTTTTTTAAAGAAATTATGTCATTCAATTCTCAAAACTATGAATTGTAGGAATTAACGAATCTCAGCGCTAGGACTGCCTTGCTGTTTGAAATCAAGCAGACATGGGTTTCTGAAACAGCACAGCCATTTACTTTTTTGTTCACCTTGGGTAAATTAAACCCGGCTGAACTTCAGTTTCTTGAATCTCTCGGAAAAAAAAAAAATCTTTACGCTGCAAAACCGTGTCACACAGTAACAACCTTTTAAATATCTATCCCCATGATCTCTTTCAGACCTGCTTTTGCCATCTTTTAATTTTTTTTTCTTTCAAAAATGTTGCATACGGTACCTTTCTAACAAGGATTGTCAATCACAATCAGAGGCTGAAAAGGACAAAAGAAAAATAATCTTTAATATGCACACCTAAATGAGATGTACATGTTGACTGTATTGCATTAAAACTACAAAACGTGCCCCTTTTCAGTCAACAAACATTTCTCAGTATGGGTTGGCATAAAATATTATATGACTTTGAGGTGTACAATATGGTGATTCAACATATATACATTATGAAGTTGTTGCAGTGTTGCAGGGTTCTTGTCTCACAGAGTTAGAGAATGAATCTCTGGGACTCAAAAAAGTGAAGTGAAAGTTTATTAAGTGAAAGTGAGAACTGAAAGGAAAAAAAAAGCTCTCTAGGGTGAGAGGAGTGTCCTGAATGGGTTGCCACGAGGGCTTTTATGGTGGATCTTTTATAGAAAACTAACTGGTGAGCTTAACCTCACCACTGGGAGCACCATGTTGACCTCTCCTTCAAGTATGGTAAGTTTCAATGGTCAATTTGTAACTTTCATAAAAATATCCCCTCTATAACATTTAAAACAGACAAGATAGTCTCCTTATATCCCCTTAGCTCTGGTTTTTGTTTATAACTTTCATGAAAATATCTCATCTAGGGATCCCTGGGTGGCTCAGCGGTTTAACGCCTGCCTTTGGCCCAGGGTGTGGTCCCGGGGTGCCAGGATCAAGTCCCATATCAGGCTCCCTGCATGGTGCCTGCTTCTCCCTCTGCCTGTGTCTCTGCCTCTCTGTCTCTCTCTCTCTGTCTCTCTCTCTCTCTCTCTCAAATAAATACATAAAATCTATAACATTTCTCCACATCTAGGATTTCTGTGAGCCTGGCCAGTAGCCCCTTACCTGTCTCTCTCTACCCATCCTTGCATGTCCCTTACTCAAAATGAACACCAGAATAAATTTAGCTACTATCTTTTACCCTACAAAGCTGTTACAATATTATTAACTATATTCTCTATGTTGTACATTGCATTCCCATGTCTTATTTATTTTATAACTGGAAGTTTGCACCTTTTGTTTCCCTTCCTCTACTTTGCCCATACTGCCACCCACTTCCCTCTGTGGCAACCACCAGATTCTTCTTTGTATCTGTGAGTCTGTTTTGTTTGGGGTTTTTTTTCAAATTCCACACGTAAGTGAAATCATACAGTATTTGCCTTTCTCTGACTTATTTCACTTAGAATACTATCCTCTCCGTCCATTCATGTTGTCACAAATGGCAAGATTTTATTCTTTTTATGGGTGAATAATATTCCTCTGTGTGTGTGTGTATCTCACATCTTTATCCTTTCATGTATGATAGACACAGGTTGTATGTGTATCTTAAATATTGTAAATAATGCCACAATGTACATAGAAGCAAAATATGTTTTTGAATTAGTGTTTTTGTTTTCTTCAGATAAATACCCAAAAGTGGAATTGCTAGATCATATGGTGGTTCTATTTTTAATTTTCTCAGAACCTTCATACTATTTCCCATGGTGACTATACCATTTTGCATTCCACCAATAGTGCACAAGTTTTCCTTTTTCTCCCTATCCTCCTCAACACTTGTTATTTCTTGCTTTTTTTTTTTTTACACTAGCCATTCTGACAGGTATAAGTGGTACCTCATTGTGGTTTTGATTTGCATTTCCCTAACGATTAGTAATGTTGCATAGCTTATCATGTATCCGGTGGCCATCTGTATTTGGTGTTTTTTGCAAAAATATATGTTCAGATCCCCTGCCCATTTCTTAACTTGACTATTGTGGTTTTCTGTTAATATTGAGTTGTGTGAGTTCTTTCTATATTTTGAATATTAACCCATTATCAAGTGATACAAATGGTATAATAAATTGCTTTTTTACTATTTGATGATTTTCTTTGCTGTGCAAAATTCTTTTAGCTTTGTATAGTCCCATATCTTTGCTTTTGTTGCCCTTGCCAGAGGAGATAAATCCAAAACAGATATTGCTAAGACTGATGTCCAACACATGCTGCATATGTGTCCTTCTAGAAGTTTTATGGTTTCCAGTCTTGACATTTAGGTCTTTAATCCATTTAGAGTTATTTTTGTATGTGGTGTAAGAAATTGGTCTGGTTTCATTCCTTTGCATATAGTTGTCCAGTTTTCCCAATATCATTTATTGAAGAGACTATCTTTTCCCCATTGTATATTCTTCCCTCCTTAGTCACAGATTAATCAGCTATGTATTCCTGGACTCTGTTCTGTTTTATTGATCTAAGTATTTTTGTGTGAGTAACATAGCGTTTTGATTATTAGAGTTTTGTAGTATAGTTAGAAATCTGGGAGTATGATAATGCTAGCCTCGGTCTTCTTCCTGTAGATTACTTTAGTTATTCGGGGTCTTTTGTGGTCCCCTACTAGTTTTCAGATTGTTAGTGGCTGATATTTGCATCCATGTTCATCAGAGATATTGGCTTGTTGCTTTCTTTTTTGTGGTATCTTTGTATGGTTTTGGTGTCAGGGTGAAGTTAGACCTATAGAACAAGTTTGTTCCTTGTTCTTTATTTTTTTTTGAATAATTTGAGAATAGGTATTAACTCTTCTTTAAATGCTGGGCAAAATTCACCTGTGAATTTTGTGCTCAGACTTTTGTTTGTTGGGATTTTTTTGATTCCTAATTCAGTTTTACTACTAGTAACCAAACTGTTCAGATTTTCTATTTCATTGTTATTCAGTCTTGGAAGGTTGTGTGTTTCTAGGAATTTATCCATTTCTTCTAGGTTGTTTCATTCACTGACATATAATTTTTGTGGAAGTCTCTTATGATCCTTTGTATTTCTCTGGTATCTGTTCTACTTCTCTTTCATTTCTGATTTTATTTATTTGGGCCCTCTTTTTTCTTAATGAGTCTGACTAAAGATACATTCCTTTTTTAAGCATTAGCTCTTAATTTCATTGATTTCTTTATATATTTTTTAATGTTTCATTTATTTCTGCTCTAGTCTTTATTATTTCCTTCCTACTACAAACTTTGGGTTTTGTTCCTCTCTTTCTAGTTTCTTTAGGTATAAAGTTAGATGTTCATTTGGGAATTTTATTGTTCCTTGAGCTAGGCCTGTATCACTATGAACTTGCCTCTTATAATTGTTTTGTTATGTTATCATAGGTTTTGGTTGTTGTGGTTCCATTTTCATTCGTATCAAGGTATCTTTTTTATTTCCCTCTTTGATTTCTTCATTGACTCATTGTTCTTTAGCCTTCAGGAGTTTGTGGTTGGTTTGTTTTTGTTTTTGTTTTTGTTTTGTTTTGTTTTGTTTTTTGTTGGTTGATTTTTTTAAAAAAGATTTATTTTATTTATTTATTTGAGAGAAAGAAGGAGAGAGAGCATACAAGCGGGGTGGGGGGTTGCGAGTGGGGAGAGGGAGAAGCAGTCTACCAGCTGAGCAGGGAGCCCAGCTTGGGGCTTGATCCCAGGACTCTAGGATCATGACCTGAAACGAAGGCAGAAGCTTAACTGCCTGAGCCACCCAGGCACCCATTTGTTTTGTGTGTGTGTGTGTGTGTGTTTAAGATTTATTTATTTATTTATTTATTTATTTATTTATTTATTTATTTATTTATTTAAGAGAGAGAGAGTGCTCATGCATGCATGCTTGAATTGGGGGAAGGAAGGGCAAAGGGGAAAAATCTCAAGCGGACTCTTCACTGAGCACAGAGACTGTCATGGGGTCTGTCTAATGACCCATAAGATTATGACCTGAACAAAATCAAGGGTTAGATGCTTAACCAACTGAGCCACCCAGGTGCCTCCAGGAGTTTGTGTTTTTTCCCCTTTTCTTCTAATTGATTTCTGCTTTTATACAGTT